GGTCAATGATGACAATTTACACCCGTCCCTGGTGGTAAAGCCAGCACGCTAATCTCCCATCCATCCTTAAACCCTTCAGTCCCTCACCCACAGCCTATGAGCGAAAGCATGAAAAGCATGGAAAGTATGATTAATCACTTCCGCTGGTCAGGCATTCTACTGTCACACAAAGTTCGCTGTAAACTTAAACTATAATATGTACAGTCTGTTACAGCTAAATAACATTCACAATTCACTCGCCAAATATAGTAGCTCTCATTTTTTTGGTAAATATTTGAACGTATATTAAAATTATAATTTACACTGTATAGTTTGAAAAAGTCTTATTTTTATTTTCTGTGTATCATATATTATATATGCTTACTGTGTATTTGTTGTGCACTATGTATCGTATATTATCTGTGTACAACGTATACCGTACATTATCTGCGTACAATGTAAACTGTATATAATCTGTGTACAATGTATACCGTACATTAGCTGTGTACGATGTATACATTAAATTATATGTGTACTATGTATATCGTATATTATCTTAGTACAATGAATACCCTACATTATCTGTGTACAATGTATACCGTACTTTATCTGTGTACAATGTATACCGTACATTATCTGTGTACAATGTATACCGTACATTAGCTGTGTACAATGTATACCGTATATTATCTGTGTACAATGTATACCGTACATTATCTGTGTACTATGTATATCGTATATTATCTTAGTACAATGAATACCTTACATTATCTGTGTACAATGTATACCGTACATTATCTGTTTACGATGTATACCGTACATTATCTGTGTACAATGTATACCGTATATTATCTGTGTACTATGTATATCGTATATTATCTTAGTACAGTGAATACCCTACAATATCTTAGTACGATGTATACCGTACATTAGCTGTGTACAATGTATACTGTACATTATCTGTGTACGATGAATACCGTACATTATCTATGTACGATGTATACCGTACATCATTTGTATACATACATTATCTGTACACATACATTATCTGTGTACAATATCTGTGTACATTATCTGTGTCTACTTTGTTCTGTAGCCTGAGATCTCGCCCCTGGTCTACACCCTGTATGACGGCATCATGTTCTTTGGTCAAGCCGTCCTCAGTCTCATGTCCATTCCAGACCTGAACCCAGAGAAAGCCTCTGACATCATCAGTTACATCCGGTGTCGACGTCACGACAGTAAGTGATCAGCATCTTTTTCCGTTCTCGGCAGATAAAGTAGAGTTTATCTGTTTCAATGACCACGGCTTACAGGGGGATAGTATGGTCAGCACTATGTCCAGCCGACTTTGTTTCTTTCTTCTAGAGATATTGGTGCGGCGATCTAGAGATGCGCTATCGGTGTCCTAACAATATGTGTAAAGTACAAGTAAAGTTCCCTTTACGAACCTGATGGTCCATAGGGCAAGTGAAGTAGAGTTCATCTGATTCTGTGAGCTCGGCATATGAAGAGATAGTGTGGTTAGAACTTCGCCCAGCCGCCTTTACTTTCACTAACGAGAGTTAGAAATCATAAGAGCTGGGTAGACTCAGGGTAGTTCTACTTCTTTGAACCCTGATTCAAACTCGAGACTTTCGGGTAAAAAGTCTAGTGCTATACCGCTAGGCCACACCGTCTCTTTATGGACTAGGTGTTCTAGAGATGTGGGCTGGGTGTTCTAGAGATGTGGGCTGGGTGTTCTAGAGATGTGGGCTGGGTGTTCTAGAGATGTGGGCTGGGTGTTCTAGAGATGTGGGATGGATGTTCTAGAGATGTGGGCTGGGTGTTCTAGAGATGTGGGCTGGGTGTTCTAGAGATGTGGGCTGGGTGTTCTAGAGATGTGGGCTGGGTGTTCTAGAGATGTGGGCTGGGTGTTCTAGAGATGTGGGCTGGGTATTCTAGAGATGTGGGCTGGGTGTTCTAGAGATGTGGGCTGGGTGTTCTAGAGATGTGGGCTGGGTGTTCTAGAGATGTGGGCTGGGTGTTCTAGAGATGTGGGCTGGGTGTTCTAGAGATGTGGGCTGGGTGTTCTAGAGATGTGGGCTGGGTGTTCTAGAGATGTGGGCTGGGTGTTCTAGAGATGTGGGCTGGGTGTTCTAGAGATGTGGGCTGGGTGTTCTAGAGATGTGGGCTGGGTGTTCTAGAGATGTGGGCTGGATGTTCTAGAGTGTTCTAGAGATATGGGCTGAGTGTTCTAGAGATATGGGCTGAGTGTTCTTGAGATGTGGGCTGAGTGTTCTAGAGATGTGGGCTGGGTGTTCTAGAGATGTGGGCTGGGTGTTCTTAGAAAAATGGGCTGGGTGTTCTAGAGATGTGGGCTGAGTGTTCTAGAGATGTGGACTGAGTGTTCTAGAGATATGGGCTGGATGTTCTAGAGATGTGGGCTTGGTGTTCTAGAGAAATGGGCTGGGTGTTCTAGAGATGTGGACTGAGTGTTCTAGAGATATGGGCTGGATGTTCTAGAGATGTGGGCTTGGTGTTCTAGAGAAATGGGCTGGGTGTTCTAGAGATGTGGGCTGAGTGTTCTAGAAATGTGGGCTGGGTGTTGTAGAGATGTGGGCTGGATGTTCTAGAGATGTGGGCTGGGTGTTCTAGAGATGTGGGCTGGGTGTTCTAGAGATGTGGGCTTGGTGTTCTAGAGATGTGGGCTAGGCGTTCTTAAGTTCTAGGAACTTAAACGTATGGACGCCCTAGGGTCTAATGTGCGACTAGAAGAATTACAGGCCCACATATGGGTGTTCTGAGGACATACGAGCGACTTATCCAACGACAGACATGTCCCTGCCCTCAGACCTGCTGTAAAAATAAAACAAGCTCGTCTTCTCTCTGACCATCTCCATGTATTATGGGATACCCTATGTACATTCTCTCTGACCATCACCAGGTATTATGGGATACCCTATGTACATTCTCTCTGACCATACCCAGGTATTATGGGATACCCTATGTACATTCTCTCTGACCATCACCAAGTATTATGGGATACCCTATGTACATTCTCTCTGACCATCTCCATGTATTATGGGATACCCTATGTACATTCTCTCTGACCATCACCAGGTATTATGGGATACCCTATGTACATTCTCTCTGACCATCACCAGGAATTATGGGATACCCTATGTACATTCTCTCTGACCACCACTAGGTATTATGGGATACCCTATGTACATTCTCTCTGACCATCACCAGGTATTATGGGATACCCTATGTACATTCTCTCTGACCATCACCAGGAATCATGGGATACCCTATGTACATTCTCTCTAACCATCACCAGGTATTATGGGATACCCTATGTACATTCTCTCTGACCATCACCAGGTATTATGGGATACCCTATGTACATTCTCTCTGACCATCACCAGGAATTATGGGATACCCTATGTACATTCTCTCTAACCATCACCAGGAATTATGGGATACCCTATGTACATTCTCTCTAACCATCACCAGGTATTATGGGATACCCTATGTACATTCTCTCTGACCATCACCAGGTATTATGGGATACCCTATGTACATTCTCTCTGACCATCACCAGGTATTATGGGATACCCTATGTACATTCTCTCTGACCATCACCAGGTATTATGGAATACCCTATGTACATTCTCTCTGACCATCACCAGGTATTATGGGATACCCTATGTACATTCTCTCTGACCATCACCAGGAATTATGGGATACCCTATGTACATTCTCTCTGACCACCACTAGGTATTATGGGATACCCTATGTACATTCTCTCTGACCATCACCAGGTATTATGGGATACCCTATGTACATTCTCTCTGACCATCACCAGGAATCATGGGATACCCTATGTACATTCTCTCTAACCATCACCAGGTATTATGGGATACCCTATGTACATTCTCTCTGACCATCACCAGGTATTATGGGATACCCTATGTACATTCTCTCTGACCATCACCAGGAATTATGGGATACCCTATGTACATTCTCTCTAACCATCACCAGGAATTATGGGATACCCTATGTACATTCTCTCTAACCATCACCAGGTATTATGGGATACCCTATGTACATTCTCTCTGACCATCACCAGGTATTATGGGATACCCTATGTACATTCTCTCTGACCATCACCAGGTATTATGGGATACCCTATGTACATTCTCTCTGACCATCACCAGGTATTATGGGATACCCTATGTACATTCATGCTGATGGAGAGACGGAGAGTGGCTTCAGGGTTCTGGCCCTTGAATACAAAGATGGCGCCGTACAGGACCTCCATCAAGTGGGCACATTCGATTCTTTAGGAGATGAGAAGGTAGGACAATAGAGGGAGGACATAGTGGGGTGGGAGGACATGGTGGGGAGGACATGGTGGGGAGGGGAGGACATGGTGGGGAGGGGAGGACATGGTGGGGAGGGGAGGACATGGTGGGGAGGGGAGGACATGGTGGGGAGGGGAGGACAGGGTGGGAAGGGGAGGACATGGTGGGGAGGGGAGGACATGAAAGGAAGGGGAGGACATGAAAGGAAGGAGAGGACATGAAAGGAAGGGGAGGACATGAAAGGAAGGGAGGACATGGTCGGTCGGGAGTGAAGGACTAATGATAACGATGACAATGATTCGGTGTGGATGTTTGGGTAAGCATGTTTTCGGTTGTGGGTGATGTTTTGGGTTAGCATGATGTAGATTGTGGAAATGTTTGGGTTGGGATGAAGTTTGAGGAAAAATAAGATCGTCCGAAAGGTGACGAAAGCCTTTTCTGATCGTGATAAAACAATGACATCTACCGCTATACACATTTATCAAAATAATCGCAAATCGTACATTTTATGTTTGCCCCGAAATAACTTTATAAAAATGTTTTACGATTTAAAATGCAAAGCAACCATTTTAAAGTTATTTTTATCACATAGACCTCTATAGGTTGAGACAGGTCTATAAAAATCTGTATAAATGTGATCACGTGATTGAGCCCCTCTCTGCCCACAGCTCGATATGCCCCTCTACCATGAGACGGCACCAATTCACTGGATTCTGGGCCACCCTCCCCTCACCGAGCCCTTGTGTGGGTTCGACAATTCCAAGTGTCCCATCAAAAAAAGTAAGTGTCTTTAAATTTCATTCAGATTAAATTTGCAGTGTCCCATAAAAAAAAAGTAATTTAGTCTATAAAATTTAATTCGAATTACATTCGTAGTTTCCTACCAAGAAAAACAAGTTTATCTCTAGATTTATTTCTGAAGTTACTGAAGTTATTTAATTTAATTTTCACCTTATAGATCTAGTATAATTTTTATCATTTAATTAGACTGATCTATTTTGAGGTTTTAAAAATTATCGCTCCTTATTTTGAAAAAAAAAAGCATTTCTTATTTTGAAAGATAAGAGACAGCTACTTTTGGCTGTGAAGAAAGTACCCCCATCCCACCAACATCCTTACTAATACATGTTTATTTCGCCCCAATGTTTTAGTTCGTTGTTTAACACGAACTGTAAACGGAGTTTATATCTGAGACAACATCAAACACCACTAAAACACTAAAAAGGCTTTCACGCGATCCCGAGAAAACGACTAGACCTACAGCCACAGTCCTAAATGGATTCTGTTAACGTGGATGCACATTTTACATACAATATATAGACAGGGCCGTATATTTGTCTTGGGCATTGTTAACCTTAGTCCTAATTCTAAACCTTCAGCAAACCCTTGCCCTAAACCTTGTGCTAACCCTTGGCCTAAACCTTCTGCTAACCCTTGCCTAACGAACATCGATGCCGATACCAAAACAAAACTGTGCACGTATTGCTATTGCTGTGTTTAAAGGAGTACTAACATCTTCATACAAATACCTGACGCAGTTTGGGAGCCCAAAGAGAAATACGATAAATCAAAATATTTAATTGCATGATTTGTTTCGTTTCGTTTTCCACATTGCATATCACGAAAAAACAATTGTTTGCATTTTGTCTAAACTATTATCGTTAAAAAAAAAGATTCAACATATATTTTACTTGCCGCAGCATCCTAATGTTCGCATCTGTTGGATGCTACATCTCGATTTCAAGGCAATCTCTATTTTCTCAAAACAATAGCCCCCTCCCCCCCCCCCTTTTATTTCTATGTCCACGGAAGGCAATCAATAAGAAACTCGTGATTTTCTCTACAGCTTACATATTACACCAATTGGTTTTAGCCATTGGTTTTTTGAAATCGTTTCCAGCAGCAGAATTCTAAGGTTTTAGAAGACATATTGAATCTAAGATGGGTCACATTGACCTTTGGTCTAAAAATGGTCAGGATAAGATGTGGTCTAAAGTTGGTTCAAAGTAATTTGTGGTCTAAGTTGGGGAAAAGTAACCTTAGTAGACATTTGGTCAAAGTAACAAGTGGTCTAAATACTGGTCAAAGTAACGAATGCTATAAAATGTCAAAGTGACCCGTGGTCTAAAAATGTCAAAGTGACCTTTATTGTAAATAAATCGTCAAATTATAAAGTGGTCTAGATAAATGGTAAAATTGTCAACTGGTCTAAATGAATGGTCAAATTGTCATGTGATCTAAATGAATGGTCAAATTGTAAAGTGGTCTAAATAAATGGTCACATTGTAAAGTGGTCTAAATAAATGGTCACATTGTAAAGTGGTCTAAATAAATGGTTAAATTGTCAACTGGTCTAAATGAATGGTCATATTGTAAAGTGGTCTAAATAAATAGTCAAAATGTCAAGTGGTCTACATAAATGGTCTAATTGTCAAGTGGTCTAAATAAATGGTCAAATTGTAAAGTGGTCTAAATAAATGGTCAAAATGTCAAGTGCTCTAAATAAATGGTCAAATTGTCAAGTGGTCTAAATAAATGGTCAAAATGTCAAGTGGTCTAAATAAATGGTCAAATTGTCAAGTGGTCTAAATAAATGGTCAAAATGTCAAGTGGTCTAAATAAATGGTCAAATTGTCAAGTGGTCTAAATAAATGGTCCAAATGACCTGTTCCATGATTTCCTTGTTTAACAGTTTCAGATTGGGTGATCGCTACCAGCGTCTCGGCCATTATCCTCTTCGTCATGATCCTAGTGGTCAGTCTGGTGCTGGTGCTTAGGTGAGTAGATGACCCTAACCCTAGCCCATACCCTAGCCCATACCCTAGCCCATACCCATACCCATACCCATACCCTTACCCTTACCCATACCCATTACCTAACCCTAAACCTTAACCTTAACCCTTCGTCATGATCATAGCTGGTGCTTAGGTGAGTAGATAAAACTGCCTCTAAACCTAACCCTAACCCTAACCCTAAACCATACCCATACCGTGCCTGAACCCAACCCTTCGTCATTTGTTGTGGTGTGTATGTTTGTATTTAGAATATCCTATATTCTAGCAAAGAAATAATTATTGTATGTTCGAGTTGTTTTTGTATAGTGTGTACATTTGTGTTATTGTGAGCGTGCGTTTGTGTGTGTGTGTGTGTGATGAACGTGTGCGCATGCGTAGAATACCTCCCCCCCCCTAACAAAGAGATAATTATTGTTTGTCTGGTGGTTGTCCGCATGATTTATAGAAGGGGAGGATACCCTGTCAGTCAAGGGAGATAACAAGTAAATTAAAAAAAATTAAATACCTGGGGTCGGGATGCTTACTCTACCTGAAACTTTACGCATTAAATCTACTCACACAATAAACTTTTGTACGATTAGATTTAACCATCCCCTCATCAATGTTTTAATTTAAGTCAAAAATGAGAGTGGGTGTGTGTGGGTGGGGGGGGGGGGGGGCACCGAATAAACATGTTGCACGAGGAAACGTCCATTTAACGGAACAGGGTGGTCGAGTGGTAGAGCGCTCGACTGCTAACCCTAAAGTCACAAGTTCTGATCACGGACTTGAGTGTCTGTAGAATGTCCCTGAGTTCACCCAGCTCTGACTTACGTTAGGGAAAGTAAAGGCTGGCCACACAATCCCTTCATATGTCTAAAAAAAAAAAACCCAGAAATTTACTTAAAACGTGCTTGTAAGTAAATGTATTCTACATGTATTTAAAGCACGAGTTACAATACCCTTTACTTCTGTTCTCCACTATATGTAAAGCACGGGTTACAATATTTTTTCCCTCTGCTTCCCCCCCCCCCCCCCTCCACAGACACTGTATCTACGAGAAGAAGCTGGACCGCCTGGCCTGGAAGATAGACAGGAGCGAGATCCAGCTGCTCAACGACGGCCAGTTCAGGGAGCTCACGACCCCTGCCAGGCCCAGGGTGAGTACCTGAGGTGGTTGCCATGGCAATGTGACCCTGGGGGTGGATCTGGAATCTTTGGGGGTTGTCATGGTAACGGATGGTTGTCACGGTAACGTGACCCTGGGGGTGGATCAGGTATTTATGGTGGTTGTCATGGTAACGTGACCCTAGGGGTGAATCTGGAATTTTTGGGGGTTGTCATGGCAACTGATGGTTGTCATGAAAACGTGACCCAATGTGTAAATCTGGAATTTATGGTATGGTGGTGGTCATGACAACGTGACTCTTGGGGTGGATCTGGAACCTTTGTGGGTTGTCATGGTAACAGGTGGTGACAACACCGTAGCATCAGACTAGAAATACATTTCTGTTCACGACAAAATTACGCGGATACCGTTTTAGAACTAGATAGGCTTGTAGTCGTAGCTAAGTGTTCTCTGACCACCCCCCTCTCCTCTTCAACACGAAACATTCGCTTTTTTACAGTAAGTGATAAAAGATTATTTTCATTGTTCCAAGCCTACAGCTAATTATTCCGGACAAAACCGGAAACAATTCAAGTTTCTCTGTTTGGTTTTAAATTTCTTTATCTGCTTAATCGCGCCCGAAAAATAAAAATAAAAACAACTACTGACGTCACCGAATCTAATCAACAAGGCGGTTTAGACTAGTGCAAACTGCGCTCTATGACGTCACGGAGGATGTATTTAGTCGCCGGTTCGGGGAAAACATTGAGACAAAAGCTGTTGGTGATCAACTTAATGATCCAACGACGGCACGCTCCGGTGTAACTGGTGAACGGTCAACAAGGGGTTCAATGACTAGTTTAGTCGTGCGGGGAGACCAGTAGATGGGTGTTGTTTATGTGTTCCGGAACTATTTCATTGGGCTCTTCAGCAAGCTGGCGTTGATTGAAAAAAAAGAGAACATGTTGAATATGTTCCTTTATTCAATTTTATTTTAAAAGACTGATTTGAGGTTTTAATAAATATAATTAATTAGATGAAGACAAAGTGGTCTAGAGTAAGCCTACATTGATATTATTATCAGTGGCGATAGTAGGTGGGGTGTCACCCGGTGCGGTAACTGAGGATGTCACCCCCTCCCCCACCAAAACTTCTGCATTTTTTTATTTGATGTCTTCCCTCTACCACTACTATTTTGTTATCTTTATTGGATCAAACATTACTTTGACATTAAATTTTAAAAAAATTCGTCGTGGTGTCACCCCTTGAATGATGTCATACTGTCGCTCCCCGCATCCCCCTTGTGACGCCACTGATTTTTATTATTACACTTGTATCAACATTACCCGGCGGTCTTTATTCCTCGCCCACTCGCTGTTTTATAATTAGGATAGTTACAGTGTTTTGTTAAACATAGCTGAATATGGCTCAGGGATAGGATTTGGTTAGTAGAACATTTAAACTGATTAATTTAAAGGATATGTAATTATCTTTATCAGTTGGTCATTGACATTTGCTAACCCTTTAGCTTAATGATAGAGGCCAGAAAACCACTCCATCTCCCCGTGGATCCCTAACTTTTTTTTAACGTTCAGTGTCGTAGCTAGGGGAGGGCGGGTGGGGCTGCCGCTCCGGGCGCCGACCTTATACCGATTTTGTGGTACCTAAATAGAAACTGTTACGGGATAGCAGAGCAAATGGTAAGAAGCGCCACAAACCTTTTCAACTTGTGGGGGGGGGGGTGCTTTTTCACAAACAAAAATAACTATAATTGGAAGGGAAGGGCTAAAATTGATAGTCCGCCCCGGGCTGTGAAATTGGTCTCAGCGACGTTTTAAAACTTCTTTTCAACTGCATTCTACATCGGATGGGAATTCTTTCAGTTACGGCATATTGACTTTAGTCTGTACTGCTGGAAGTTTATGGCGCAATATTCTCTTTCATGCCGGAAAATATATTTTTTTCCCAGTCATATAACATTGAGGACTACTTTTCTGAAAAAAAAAAAAAAAAAAAAAAAAAAAAAAAAAAAAAAAAAAAAAAAAACAACACTTTTTTTTCTGATGGTGTAACATTTAATTTCATGCAAAAAAATAAGTCCAAATACTGTAGCATTGACTTTTTTTTTAATGAAATGATTTCCAGACAGTGTGACATTAGCTTTCATGCCAGAAAAAAAAAACAATCAATTTCCTGACGTTTAACATATACTATTCTACAAGAAAAAACAGGTTTCCTGACGGTGTAAAATGTACTTTTCTATAAGAAAAAAAAAATGGTTTCCTGACGATGTGAAATTTTCTTTTCTACAAGAAAAAAACTGGTTTCTTGACGGTGTGAAATTTTCTTTTTTTGCCAGAAAAAAGATTCCCTGACGGGCAACCAGCTGAGAAAAATTTACTTCCTCCAGGACACGGACGAGGAGATCAGCGAGAAGTCGTACAGGTCAGAGGTCATCCCAGTGGGCTTTTACAGGGGGACCTACGTCGTCGTCAAACAGGTAAGGTCAAGGTCATGGTTTCATTGGGAATACCCGAAAAGCTTTAATTTAATTGAGGTGGTCTGTTGGGATGGGAGATTTGACAAGACGAGTGTTTAATTAGCTGGAACCCGGACATTCTTTTTTGGACCTTTGACAAGGCCATGACGGGTGACACGTGACGTCGATACCGGCATTTGGGGGAATTATAGGTGAACTTGACACTTTCTTGTCTGGTTGAATGTATGTGAATAGTATTACAATAAATGATCCCAATTCATAGTTTGTTAACCATCATCTTTTCCCGTTCGTTCCCAAGACACATGGGGCAGATGAAGTAGAGTTGATCTGCTTCAGTGACCTCTTCATATAAAGGGATTGTGTGCTCAGCACTATGCCCAGCCGCCTTTATTTTCACTAATGTGAGTTAGGTACCCATCGGAGCTGGGTGGACTCAGGGACGTTCTACTGATATTTAACCCGGATTTAAACTCGGGTTGGCAGCCTAGCGCTAGTTCGTAAATAAGAACATATATTTACAAGAAGAGGCTCGTATGTAAGAACACAAATTTAAAACAACATACACATAAGAACAACATTTATAGCCAAAAGCTCAAACTATTGACAACGTATTGTTACCAAACAGGAGATAATTTTTGTATCCTTTAATAAACGCGTAAGATACTTAAGAATAGTAATCCTAGGTCTATACCTTAGCAGTGTATTTGCCTCTTTCTCACGAACCTCAATACTGAAGAGACAACACACACATACACCCCCCCCCACTCACACACGCACGAAGTTCTGTGTTCTATAGAGCTCAACAAACGTCCTAACTTATTTAGGACCTATAGAGTGTCTCAGCCCACGCCTGCTCTCCAGAGGGCAGTTTGAGTTTCGTAGGAAGCTCAAACACAACTTGGGAAAATACACTGACACTAACCCAATCACGCTGTGGACTTTACAACACTACCCGACCTTCTTAGCGTTTTTGTTTACGGGATTGCGTTCTGAACTTTTATTTTCCGTGTCAATGTATATAGATAAAAAAATTGTCAGATCCATTTCTACACCCCTCGGATATTAGAAAAGTGTGGCACTGAATTGTTCTAATATAGGTCAATATTGAAGTTTAGGTTTTGGTCTATGATCGCTCTCAGACACTAACCCGGCCTAACCCTAATCCCAACACTAATCCAAAGCTGAACCCTATTCCCAACCCGAACCCTATTCCCAACACAAACCCTAATCTCAACCCGAACCCTATTCTAAATCCAAAACCGAACCCCAATCCAAAACCGAACACAAATCATATCCTATTCCCAACCCAAACTCTAATCCAAACCCAAACAATAACCCAAATCCTATGCCCAACCCAAACCCTATTCCAAATCCCAAATCCCGAATCTTGACAGTGATGAACTGTATTACTCTCCGGAGAAAAGTGACCCGTTTAAAAAAAAATCAATACAATAGAAGTCAACAAAACTTTCCGGAAACCCACAAACCTTATTGCATCATGAACACCGTAATTGGGGTCAGTCACGTTAAGTGACGAAATTAGATGAGGGGTGGTGGAAGTGGGTGGGGGGGGGGGGGGGCGTCAGTTCCTCCCATGAAGGCTCACCACGCCTCTGCTGACGGTCAGGCTGACCCAACGTGTGCTGTGTATTTCAGGTGACCAGGAAACACATGGAGGTCAACCGGATGGTCAAGAAACAGCTGCAGATGAGGAAGGAGCTGACCCATGACAACATCAACAGATTTATCGGCGCATGCGTGGAGCCCCCAAACATGTTCATCGTCACCCAGTACTGTCCGCGCAAAAGCTTACAGGTAATTCCAAGTCCAAAGCTAATGTTATAAGACAGGCCCAAACCCTAATGTCATAGGCTGGTCCAAACACTAATGTCATAGGTTGGTCCAAACCCTAATGTCATAGGCTGGTCCAAACACTGTCATAGGTAGGTCCAAACCCTAATGTCATAAGGCAGGTACGAACCCTAATGACATAGGTTGGTCCAAACACTAATGTCATAGGTAGGTCCAAACCCTAATGTCATAAGGCAGGTACGAACCCTAATGACATAGGTAGGTCCAAACCTTATTGTAATAAGTCAGGTCCAAACCTTAATATCTTAGGCAGGTTCAAACCCAATTGTCATAAGTCAGGCCCCTAATGTCTAGTATCCATTGCATCTTCTTACCTGATTTTAATACTGGTTTTGACGGTTTTGCTGATATTTCTTCAATTTTTACATTTGTTTGAAATAATTCCTATTAATATAATAGAAAAATAGTTTTGATTTCGTTTTTTAATATAATTTCACGCTTACTATTTTAGATAATATTTAATTTTTGTGTCTGTTTCAGGATCTTCTAAACGATGAATGTTCACCAATAGACGACATGTTTACAACCTCACTGGTCCAAGATCTCATCAGGGTAAGTAACTTTATTTAACTTTATCAGGCAGGAAAACGATTTGAATTATTCTCCTTTGTTATATATGGCTTTGAAAAAGCAAAATGAAACGTAATCGTTTTTTTCCCATTTATTACGTCTTTTTTGTTAAGGATTTAAATGAATTTTTTTTTTAATTTCATAATTTTACTACAACAAAACTTTCTAGTTTTTTGTTTTTCATGTGTTCAAGATAATTTGATACAAAATTCATTTTGACAAAAACTCAGTTTACTCTTCTGTGCTGCCTCGTAGGGGATGACATTTATACACGACGCCTTCGGCTACCATGGTAACCTCAAGTCCAGCAATTGCCTAGTGGACAGCCGCTGGACGCTCAAGGTCACGGACTTTGGCTACACCGTGCTGGGACCGGAGCCTAGGCCCAAGGTCGAGGACGAGAGCTTCTACAAGGGTGAGCGCTGCGGGGGGGGGGGGGGGGCATGGGGACAGGGGACTGGAGTAGAGAGGGGAGGAATGAGAATATATGCTGTAAGACTTTTAAGACATTCTTTTAGACACTTATCATATTTATCATGTTTATCATGTTCCTAGTGGTGTCGGGAAGGGGGAAGGGTTAGGTTGTTCCTGCAATGGGATTAAGTTTTTAACCATCATGTATTGTGAATGTAAAGGGGCTAGGATATTAAAGACATTATCTTAAAGTGATTTAGAACATGTCGATACTAGTAGGCAGAACTGCTGTAAGTTGTTAGTAAATTTTTAACATTAAAAAAAATCATTTGGCTTCTTATTGTTGGGTTTGCTGTGAACTACCATTTACATATTTGTAAATTATTGATAGGTTTGCTGTGGACTGCCCCCGAATTGTTGCGTAACCGCCGAAACGTGAGCACGTCCAGCCACCAACCGTCCTACCACCACATGAACAGCATCAGCAGCACGTCCAGCGGCAGCACCAACAGCAGCCTTCGCGTCACCGGCAGCGCCAAGGGCGACGTCTACTCGTTCGCCATCATCCTCAATGAGCTGTACGGCCGGGCGGGGCCGTGGGGGCTGAACAAGATGACGGCTAGAGGTGAGGTGTTAGCTGACCCTTGGTTGATGGGAGGAGGGGGGGGGGGGAGGTAGGGGTCAGCTCAAGATGACGGCTAGAGGTGAGGTGTTAGCTGACCCTAAGGTGATGGGGGGGGGGGGAGGGGGAGATAGGTGAGGGGGGGGGGGGTCAGCTCAAGATGACGGCTAGAGGTGAGTTGTTGGCTGACCCTCAGGTGACGGGGGGGGGGGGGGAGGGAAGTAGGGGTCAGCTCAAGATGACGGCTAGAGGTGAGTTGTTGGCTGACCCTCAGGTAACAAGGGGGGGGGGAAGGGAGGGGGGGAGGTAGGTGAGGGGGGTCAGCTCAAGATGACGGCTAGAGGTGAGTTGTTGGCTGACCCTCAGGTGACAAGGGGGGGGGGAGGAGGGAGGGGGAGGTAGGTGGGGGGGGGTGGTCAGAACAAGATGACGGCCAAAGGTGAGTTGTTAGCTGACCCTCAGGTACCAGTGGGGTAGGGGGAGGTAGTTGGGGGGGGGTCAGCTCAAGATGACGGCAAAAGGTGAGTTGTTAGCTGGCTCTCAGGAGACAATGGGTGGGAGGATGGATCAGCTCATGATGACGGCAAAAGGTGGACATGGAAGGGACACAGCTCAAAATAGTGGCTACCCGTGACTTGTTGTCTTTGCTGGGACCATTATGGTGTCTATAACAGCCTATGGCGAGAGGATCATCCACACACATATCTTGGAATGTTAGCCAATCCCCCAGTCATCACAGGTAGCTGATCCCAACCTCTCCCTAAAGTTCTACCCAGCCAATTCAACCGCCCCCCCCCACTTTACATTCATTCTATTTCAAAACTGTCTATGTGAAGTACTCAATTGAGAGCGGTTCCAATCTTTCTGTGCTAGAAATCGTGGAGAGGCTGATGGTGTCAACCGTTCCAGAGTTCTACCCAGCCAATTGAACCCCTCCCCCCAATTTTTAACTTAATTCTATTTCAACACTGTCTATGTGAAATACTCAATTGAGAGCGAATCCAATCTTTCAGAAATCGTGGAGAGGCTGATGGTGTCAACCGTTCCAGAGTTCCGCCCCGACACGTCAAACCTGACGACAAAAAATCAGATTATCGTCAGCTTAATCCACGAGTGCTGGCACCAAAATCCCGAGGTCAGGCCGGACTTCAAGTACGGCATCAGGGCCAAGTTCAAGCCAATACAGCAGGGCTTCTTGTAAGTAGTTTCAGTAGAATCTACATAGCAGGGGTTCTTGTAAGTAGTTTCAGTAGAATCTACATAGCAGGGCTTCTTGTAAGTAGTTTCAGTAGAATCTACATAGCAGGGCTTCTTGTAAGTAGTTTCAGTAGAATCTACATAGCAGGGCTTCTTGTAAGTAGTTTCAGTAGAATCTACATAGCAGGCTTTTTGTAACAAGTTTCATTAGAATCTAGTAGTGGTTCTTGTAAGTTGTTTCAGTAGAAATAAGTGAGTGGGTCCCCCTATAAATGTCCTGATAAAACGGACTTATGACGAAGTTTCTGTTTGTTCTAGACATGTATATTATACATGTCGCTAGTGTAACAACAAAGACTGTATCAATAGGAATAGTTTCAAAACTGATCCAACATTTTTGTGTTTATGTTCCTTATTTTTCCCCAGAAAATCCAATATTTTTGTGTTATGTTTTTATTTGTCCCCAAAAAATCCAACATTTTATTGTTCATGTCCTACTATATCCCCAGAAAATCTAACATTTGTTTGTACATGTCCCCAGAAAATCCAACATTTGTTTGTACATGTCCCCAGAAAATCCAACATTTGTTTGTACATGTCCCCAGAAAATCCAACATTTGTTTGTACATGTCCCCAGAAAATCCAACATTTGTTTGTACATGTCCCCAGAAAATCCAACATTTGTTTGTACATGTCCCCAGAAAATCCAACATTTGTTTGTACATGTCCCCAGAAAATCCAACATTTGTTTGTACATGTCCCCAGAAAATCCAACATTTGTTTGTACATGTCCCCAGAAAATCCAACATTTGTTTGTACATGTCCCCAGAAAATCCAACATTTGTTTGCACATGTCCCCAGAAAATCCAACATTTGTTTGTACATGTCCCCAGAAAATCCAACATATTCGACAACATGATCGACATGATGGAGAAGTACGCCAACAACTTGGAGGCTGTGGTGGCCGAGAGGACAGAGCAGCTGAGGGTGGAGAAACGGATGACAGAGAATCTCTTGCTCAGGATGTTGCCCAGGTAGGTCTCAGGGTGAAGGGGATGTATGGGGATACTTAAGGTACCATTTTGCCCCCCCCCCCATATCTTTTTTATATTTATAAAACAAAAACTGCAGCTTAAATGAGCTTTTTAATTTTTTTCCAACCTATTTTGGCGCCCCTAGGGTCGGCGCCCCTAGGGTCGGCGCCCCTAGGGTCGGCGCCAGGAACATATGTACCACCCGCCCCGCCCCCCCGTCACTGCGACTCTGGACAAACATAAAAATAAGGAAAGACATAGTAATACCAACTACTCAGAGAGTAAAACAAATCTTTAACTCTCGTGTTTTTAGATCAGTTGCCGAGAAACTAAAGCACGGCCATCAGGTAGAACCAGAACAGTACGAGCATGTCTCCATCTATTTCTCTGATATTGTCGGCTTTACACAGATGAGTGCCAGTAGCACCCCCATGGAGGTAATTTCAAACGTTTTACACCTACTTGCAGTTATTTGTAAATAAAAAGAAAACAGTTTATAGCAACATTAATTTAAAACCGAATGCTACTAAATAACAGATTTGACATTTTGTTTTAATAATTGAAACAATTCAATTTCTATATTGAAGAGTTTGATTTGTTTTTCGTGCATGTTGCTGATTTATTGAATGATCTGTACACCTGCTTTGATTCCATCATTGAAGAGTTTAATGTTTGTTTTTGCAGGTTGTTGATTTATTGAATGATCTGTACACCTGCTTTGATTCCATCATTGAAGAGTTTGATGTTTACAAAGTGGAGACAATAGGAGATGCCTATATGGTGGTCAGTGGCTTGCCAATCAGAAACGGGGACAGGCATGCAGGTAGGTTTTCAGGCTGGACCAATCAGGTGTATAAAAAATAAAAGCATATCGTCCACTAAGCAAAGTACGGTAGAGGTCACGTTATTTTTTTTTACAAATTGTACCTAATAAACGGATTGCGTGGTCCATTTTGTCAAGCAAGGGCCCAGTTTTAATCTTAGTTTTTTTTAAATATTAGATGACTTATATTATAAATGGATACACTACCCATAGCCATTCAACATACACCAGCCATTTAACACATTTTTTCCTCAAACTGCTCAACACCATGCTAAAATAAAGTCAAAACTTTTTGGTGACAAGAGATTTAAACCACTGCTTTTATACTACACATCTTGACCAATGTAAACACAACATAAGATAATTTGTCTAAATAGTAACACACCATAACTAGCTGGGTGATTTAGGTTTTTCTTACATTTTGAAGTGGGGACAAGCGAGAGTAATGTGAAGGCTTTAAAATAAGCTACTTAAAATAATTTATAAAACAAGCAACAGTGGATTTTTAAAAATAAAAATTGTAAATTCAGTTCCCTGTAGACCTCAGCACTTAAATCATAGATCTAAACATTTTAAAAGCTTTTATTTAAACTCTGTGTACATCAAACCTGATTCATGCTACAAGCCCGTAGATTTCACAATACAGGTGTGTTTGTTTACTACTTGGTTTTGTTTACGTTTAACAGGTGAGATAGCATCCATGGCGCTGTTGTTACTTGAGGCCATCAAACTGAAACGGTTCAAAATTCAAGGCTCGAACAACACCACCCTCAAGATTCGTATCGGCATCCATTCAGGTCGGTTTTTATTTATACTCGGGATCTATTTAGGTCGGCTTTTGTTTTAACTCGGCTTCCAATTAGGTCGGCTTGTTTTAAATCGGCATCTATTTAGGTGTCTTTTTTTAAAAAATCGGCTTTTTTTTAACTCCTGCAAAATTGATCATTTATCATACGTTTTTTTTCATTAGAAATCAATTTCTGCATAAAATAAAGTTCAGGTTTTGTATCAAAAGTAAAGTGCTCTTCAGATTCGGCAGTCCATTGTGTAGTTTAAATAGAGTGTATCTTTCTATGTGTGGTCAGCACAATGCCCAGGTGCTATGTGTGGTCAGCACAATGCCCAGGTGCTATGTGTTTAGCACAATGCCCAGGTGCTATGTGTTTAGCACAATGCCCAGGTGCTATGTGTGGTCAGAACAATGTCAGACGTTAAATCCCCCTTACCATCTCGAATTACAGCTTCGAGTTGGCGGATATGAACTTGAGAAATTAGGGTTAGCCGCCTTGTGGTCAGCCTTGCTTTTCTTTCAACCAGGAATCTAAAAATTATTCTGTTAGTATTATAGGAGTAGCGATCCTTCCCGGCGCCCAGGGACAAACTTTTACTTTCAATTTGGCGCCCCCTCCGGGAACAAACTTTCAATTTGGTGCCCCACCCCATATATTTTTATATTTATAATGCAAAACTGCAACTAAAATGAGCTTTTAATTTTTTTCAAACCTATTTTGGCGCCCCCTAGGGTTGGCGCCGGGGACATATGTACCTCCCCGCACCCCCTCGCTACGCCTCTGGTTCTTATGCTATAAATGGCTTGTAAAATTATGTTCTCACCTAATCTAACACATGCCATTTGATGAGTTATAACATGTTTTCCCCAGGCCCGTGCTGTGCTGGTGTTGTTGGTCTGAAAATGCCCAGGTACTGTCTGTTTGGTGACACGGTCAACACAGCCAATAGACTGGAGTCTACAGGGGAAGGTAAAACATTTAATGCCTGAATGTCGCTAGTTCTAGTAATGTTACATGATAACTGTGTCTCTCAACACAACAAGTGATGTATTTTAGATAATGATAGAAATTTTAACTTCCAATTTATGAAGGAGAATATTTGTATCTGTAACTTTATAGCTTTGGTGGTTGAAAATTTGTTTTTGTTTTGTTGTTCTAGCTTTGAAGATCCACTGCAGCGCAGATACGAAGAAAATCTTGGATAAGTTGGGTGGATACCATCTGGAGGAGAGGGGATACACGGAGATGAAGGTAAGATACTGTGAGATAACTTGGGTGGATACCATCGGATAATTTGGGTGGATACCATCTGGAGGAGAGGGAATACACGGAGATGAAGGTAAGAGTAGGCTGTACATTGTGAGTAAAGGCAGCTGGGCACACTATCCCTTCTTATCCCGAGATGAACTCAACTTTATCTACCACTTGGCCCACGAGGTTCAAAAAGGGAACTTAACTAGAAGGCTATAATACACCAAGATATAATTTTCCATTATACATTATATCTTTATTACTACTATGATATTGGAAAAAAAAAACAAGTTAAAATATACAAAGATAATAGGTTCTAATAAAATTGCGCATCTCTAACAATAACGTTGCATACGTTTGGCATAATGAATTCCTAAATTCCTTCTGCGGATTGCTCCTCATTAATTTCTCTAACCCCCAGGGCAAGGGCAGCCTGCTGACCTACTTCCTGCTGTCAGAAGACCAAAACCACAGGTACCGACGCCTCTCCCGGTACAAGCGCTCAGGCAACACCAGCCGCTGTGTCTCCGCCTCCAACCTAGACTACAGCGGCAAGTCCTACAGCCTGTCGTCCAAGATGTTTTCCCAGAACCCTGACCGTGTCAGCACCAACAGCAGCCTCAACAGCTCCATGGACAGCTCGGACAACCCCGAGGACATGTCACCCTCGTACATGGCATTCGATGACAAAATGTCAGTCCACTTGCCGAGTTATAACCATGACTTTGTGGCGTCGACGCTGCCTAGAGCGACCTTGCCGAAATACAACGGGCACATGTCGCCGATAGCGGAGTGCCCCGGTGGACAAAGTGAATGTTCGGGGCAAAATGAAAGTCTGTTAGAAAAAACCGTTTCGTTTCCTAACTCTCCGTATCACGAGGGCTACTCAGAAACTGTCTCTCTACTCAATGGCACCGCCCAGTGGCCAGATGGCCCGTCAGGGGTCATGGCCAAGAAGAGGTCAATTAGCAGCAGGTCAGGTCTGAATCATTCCAAACCTAATGGTTGGGCCGCGCAGTGGTTTGCTGATCCCAACGTCTGTCATTTGGATTACACATCTAACGATGAATCAACGATGTAATCAGATGACCAGTGGTTTGATGATCCGAACGTCTGTCATTTAGGTTACACATCTTAGCTGAATCAACGTTGTAATCAAATGACAACCAGTGGTTTGCTGAGCCTAACGTCTGTCATTTGGATTACACATCAAACGATGAATCAATGATGTAATCAGATGACAGCTGACCAGTGGTTACCTTGACCATAACGTCTGTCATTTGGATTACACATCTAACACTGAATCAATGATGTAATCAGATGACAGCTGACCAGTGGTTACCTTGACCATAACGTCTGTCATTTGGATTACACATCAAACGCTGAATCAACGATGTAATCAGATGACAGCTGACCAGTGGTTACCTTGACCATAACGTCTGTCATTTGGATTACACATCAAACGCTGAATCAACGATGTAATCAGATGACAGCTGCACAATGGTTTTCTAACCGTAAGATCTGTTAGCTGGAGTACTCACCCAAGGATGTAAAGTTTGTTCACTCAATCAGCATTGGCGCAAATTTGTAATATAAAGATTTGTACTAGAAATGGTCAGCAATTTCCCGGGATAAACTATGGCCAGCGTGACAACATATCAACCTATGAATGCTATTACCTGACCAGATGTTGATGATCAAATACACAGATAGGACGGGGAGTTTGATCCGCAAGATTTCTTTCCACAGGGCTTTAAAGCAAATACATTCACAAGGATGTGTTTTTTATAACATGGAATTTTGTTCGGAAATATTTCGTTAGACTGGCGCCTGACGTTTCATGTTTTTAATGTCTGTGATTTACATGGAGGCATTTATCATCAAACACAATTCTGTTCATTGTCAAAAAAAGTGTCTAGACTTAAAACACTGTCTTAACCTAAATCTGAAACAGTGTCTTGACCTAGCAAAGTGTCTAAATTTAAGCGTCTAGACCTATGTCTAAACTAAGCAAAGGGCTCAAATGTTTGTATTATTCTCCTAATTCCATTATGTGTTCTGTGTATAAAATTTTATGGCTTTCAAAATATTGCCGTGTACAAAATGAATTCACTTGGTCTTCGAGTGAATTGAATTCCAGTTCATGCTGGCTATTGAAGCCGACCAAAGAAGGAACAGTTTTTTTTTAACAAAATGTAAATGGTTTTAAATAATGTTATGTTATTTTAAAGGAAGATGATTGTTGGATAAAAATGTTGTGACTTCATTCATGTACAGGAGCAGTTTTAATTTTTGTATATACTTTTAGTGTTTCATCATCAGTATGCTAGTGGCTCATGAATGATAAGCTAGTGTATCAGGCTGTATGCTAGTGGCTCATGAGTGGTATGCTAGTGGCTTATTAGTGGTAAGCTAGAGTATCAGGCTGTATGCTAGTGGCTCATGAGTTGTATGCTAGTGGCTCATGAGTTGTATGCTAGTGGCTCATGAGTTGTATGCTAGAGGCTCATGAGTGGTATGCTAGTGTATCAGGCTGTATGCTAGTGGTGCATGAGAGGTATGCTAGTGGCTCATGAGAGGTATGCTAGTGGCTAATTAGTGGTAAGCTAGTGTATCAGGCTGTATGCTAGTGGCTCATGAGTTGTATGCTAGAGGCTCATGAGTGGTATGCTAGTGTATCAGGCTGTATGCTAGTGGTGCATGAGAGGTATGCTAGTGGCTAATTAATGGTAAGCTAGTGTATCAGGCTGTATGCTAGTGGCTCATGAGAGGTATGCTAGTGGCTAATTAATGGTAAGCTAGTGTATCAGGCTGTATGCTAGTGGCTCATGAGTGGTAAGCTAGTGGCTCATGAGTGCTATGCTAGTGGCTCATGAGTGGTATGCTAGTGGCTCATGAGTGGTATGCTAGTGGCTCATGAGAATTATGCTAGTGGCTAATTAGTGGTAAGCTAGTGTATCAGGCTGTATGCTAGTGGTGCATGAGAGGTATGCTAGTGTATTCTACTGTAAGCTAGAGGCTATCGAGTGGTATGCTAGTGTATCTGGCTGTATGCAAGTAGCTCATGGGTGATATGCTAGTGACTGCGGTTGTTTGCTAGTAAACGAGTTCTAGGCTCATCAGAGGTATGCTACTGGCTTATGAGTGGTATGCTAGAGGCTAATGAGCAGGATGCTGGTGGCTCATCAGTCGTACACTACGGCACCATCATTTGAATGATCCTGGTTTTTGACCATCACAAAGGTTCCTCAATTGAATGTTTGACTGTTCATATGTTGTATACCTGTATCTCTGTAACATAGACGTGTTAGGTGTTTGGAGAGCTGGCAAAGACTGCAGTTGTTTTATCATCTTGTTGCTTACAAAGATTTTTAAAAATTTGCCTGTACTACAGATATAATCAGATGATTTGAGCTTAGAGATACATGTGATGATCAGTAATAAACGAAATGTCAACAAGAAAATTATCATTGGTTTCATGAACTGTGTGGTGGGCTTTTATTGGAGTTGTGTTGTTATGGTAGGGGGGGGGGCTTTGTGTAAAGGGGGGGGGGATTATAGGTGGGCTTGTGTTGTGTTGACTTAGGATGAGTGGATCATATTGCACGTCTCACATTTTATGAAGGGGCTTTGTCTTATTATGGAGGGTTTTATGTGGGATTTTAAAAAGAGATTTCTTTTCTAGTGGTGGTAGTGTGTGTGTGTGTGGGGGGGGGGGGGTATGTATCTTTATAATAGATTTGTCTAAATGGGATGGGGAGACTTTGTATGATTCCACAAGACTAGTATTGCCGTATGAATTTTTGTTTTTTAATTGGATTATTTACCTTTTGATTGGCAAAGGTGTTTTTTTTAATTGTCCAATGTGTATTTTTTAAAAATTGGCCAATGTTTTTTTTTTTTGGTCAATGCAGGCTTTTGATTAGATAAATGTCGCTGAACATTCCTGACTCATTCAACAGAAAAGATAAAAAACACCAACACAGGTTAAAATTGAAGTTTGTGTTCATTTATCCACATACATAAACCACAAAAAACATGACATACAAGGGAGATAAGGCGAGCAAACAGCTGTATGGCATCACATAATCGGAGTTATCTAACCTTATGATTCACGAAAAAAAAAAATTTGTATATGTAACGTTTTTGTAAAGTTATTTTTAAAGTCAAATTTTTTTATATCTGGATATTTTTTTTTCATAAAACAGAAACACTGGGAGATGTAAAAAAAATATTCTCAGCAGTCTAAAACATTTTAATTTCAAGGAACGATAGAATTATTTTATAAAAGGGCATAGTTACGAAATCATTTGAGCGATCATTCAGACATGAAACATAATCTGTATTCCTATTCAACTAGAGCAGTGAGATGAAACCATTTGGCCAGATTGTTGTAATTTTTTCCTGGCAACTTAATGAGTCACAGACAGCTTGAACCAAACTAGCATAGAGCCAGGTAACTTTTACCTTCTGACGAGTGTCTGTCCTTCACCGCCAATTTAAAAAAAATAAATAAAAATGAATGGCTGTGGTTTCACAAATCGCAACTCGGACAGTGATAAAACAGTTTTGTGATCAACACCTTCCTGTTTTAAACCCCCATCAGATGAATACAGATCTTTTCAAGATCATTCAACAGCATACACACATCTCATTCAAACCGTTTGAGCAAGTGTGAGATCACGTGATAACCATACAAGTTGTTCTGTTCCGCTTTCTCCCCGCTAGACGGCACGCTGTGACGAAGCACCATAAAAGGGCGGTACAATCATATACAACGATGCTAGATATTTACACATATGTGCCAAAATAAAATTAAAAAAAACATGTATGCTTTGATTCTAGGATCCCCTCAAGGCTTCTAATATCAATATCTGGCATACCACAGCCTAATTAGGGGGGAAAAATAAAATTGGGGGAGTTTAAAAATTTAATCAAGATTTAAAAATTAAGTTTCTAGTAATGAACTCACAAGACATTTGAGCATGTCACTGATCCATCAAGGTTTTAATAGCTCTGTCAATTGACTGACACTTTGTAGGTTCTGACAGTGTCAGATGTGTGACACATGGGGGTTCAGTGTTGCTTGACAGGTAACAAAACTTCGAGATGGCATCAATGTAAACATTATTGTGGTAGTGTAACTATATTCTCTGTGCACCTTGATGGAACTTTTGGTCAAGCTTTTTTTTTCTATATTTCATCTGAACCTTGTATTGTGCTTAAATGTGATTGGTCGAGATAGACAACCTATGCAAGAGTGCTTTTGATTGGTCAAAATTGACAATCTACATACGTACATTTGATTGGTCAAGATGGACAATCTACACAATTGTGCACTTTTAGCTGCCTCGTACACTATTGCTCTCGTGAATTTTTTTCCCTTACTTTACACTACAAGTTATAAATACTCAGTTGAGCAGTTAAAAAACAATTTTTCAGATGAAGTTGGTATAATTTTTAGTCTCGATTTCTTCAAATCTGAATAGGATCAGGTGAGACACTTGATGAATGAATAGGTGAGACCGGACGTGAGACAAGGTGAGACAGGTGACAGGAAGTGAAAGCAGAAGACAAAAGCTGCAGTGTGGGTCTCACGTACTCGTCTGCTGAGACAGGAGCAAAAAAAAAATGGTGTTCGTGTTGAAAATGATCAAAGTAACGAAGTCAACTATGATTCAAAGTCTACCGGATGATGCTTCAGTGAGGTTCATTCTTCTAAGTTAGTCGTCTGCAATATTTAGAACCACGTTTACTTAAATCCTCTGCATAATTTGCATCTACATTTTTTAAAAAGACGTGGCTATATTCCAGCAGATGAAAGACTTAGCTGAATGAATCTGAAGCGATTTCCGGTAAACCGAACTGACATGCGCAGAAAGCATGATAGTGATAATTAATTCAACTAGTGGCTGGGCCATCTAGTGACGCTACCCAAAAATAGGTCAAGCTGTTGCTGCCGTAGGTCTTCGCCAAACCACCGCGGTGTGGTTTTGTTTTGGTTTTGGTACCGTGTCTTTTCTCTCCGCTCTTCTTTCTCTTGGCGCAGCAAGCTGTTGGCGAGGCGTGCTCAGGCTGCCTCGCGTGCCGGGAGACAATGGGAATGTCTCCCTCCGCCTATGGGATGGGCAGGGTCAGAAACTTCTGGACCCCAACAATTGGTTGACTGGCCACCTCAGTGCTGACGTCAACACTAGCGGGGGATAAAAAAAAAGATGTCCAGATTACTAGAACAGTGGTTTTTGTTGGTTAGCCGTACCCCCCCCCCCCCCCAGTAGCGTAGCCAGAATCGCCTAATGGGGGGGGGGGGTTCAAATTTTTACCCGGGGACAAACTTTCGATTTGCACCCCCTCCAACTTTCGGTTTGCACCCCCCTCCAACTTTCGATTTACACCCCCCTCATACATTATATATATACTGAGGGGTCTATGGGGGGGGGGGGGGGGGGGTTATAACCCCCCTAACCCCCCCCCCCCCTGCCTATGCCACTGTCCCCCCCCCCTTCCATACATATTCATCTGAATAATATCACGCCTCAACACACAGTGCAACTATCCGATTTCTCTTGAATGTACATTTGTAGACGCAGTCTAATTTTTTAATGCCCAGCATAAATAACTATAGACAAAACAATTGTTTTAATTACTGCCACTGAAATAAATAGAATATTACCCCCTGTCGATTATAAATGAAACTTAGGCTCGGTGGTTAGATTGTATTCCTGTTTGAGTGGCATAATTTAAAACAAATGTTATGTCTATAGCTATTTATACTTAAGGTTAGGTTATGTTAAGGGTCTGTTTGTAATGGTCAGGGGGAAATATTCTACTCCGCATTTTAGTGTACATTTTTACCCCATGCCAATTACAAATCGACCCTTAACCTAACCTAACCTTAAGTATAAATAGCTATAGACATAACATTTGTTTTGAATAACGCCACTTACACCAGGCATAGAATATTACCCCTTGTCGATTACAAACCGACCCTAAACCTAACCTAACAGTAAGTGCAATTAACTATAGACACAACATTTGTTTAAAATTATGCCACAAAAATCCGGTGTACAATATTACCTCCTGCAGTTTTCAAATCAACCACAAACCCAACTTTAATTGTTAGGTTAGGGCTAGGGTTAGCGTTAGTGATAAGGTTGGAAAATATTCTAGGTGAAATAAGATTAACTTATACTTACCCGGTTATATATAGAATGTTTAATAGAAGACACGAAAAATCAAATGATTTTGTACTCAGGTCATTATAGGCTTTCTATAGAATGCCGTGTTTAGTGCTTTGCCGGTAACTGCATGATATATATTCTCTAGAGGGGGGTAGCTGCATTATATATTCTCGAGAGGAGGGAGGGTGGGGGGGGGGGTGGTAACTACATGATATATATTCTCGATAGGGTGTGGGGTAACAGTATGATATATATTCTCGAGAGGGTGGTAACTGCATGATATATATTTTCGAGAGGGGGGTAACTGTATGATATATATTCTCGAGAGGGGGGTAACAGCATTATATATTCTCGAGAGGGGGGTAACTGCATGATATATATTTTCAAGGGGGATTGGTAACTACATGATATATATTCTCGATAGGGTGTGGGGTAAAAGTATGATATATATATATATTCTCGAGAGGGGGGTAACTGTATGATACATATTCTCTAGAGGGGGGGTAACTGCATTATATATTCTCGAGAGAGGGGTAATTAACATAGGGGAAAATTGACGTGGTGCCCTAAACTTATCATCTGGATATACATCGCCGACCCGCCGACCAAAACACTAAACATCTCGATTGGGCCATCTGGCTTACTTCACAAGAGACCTAAATACATAGGGCCAACTATATGGGCGACTGAATATACAGGGCCATTAGGTTATTGATCGGGGGGGGGGGGGGAGTGTAATCTTACGGGGGGGGGGGGGGTAATGACAAGGGGCAACTGAAGGCGTTATCTTAAAAACAAAATTAAATTAGACCTATATGACTATACTAAGACCCTAATATTTAATGCCATATAGACTATTCATATTGAAGCCTGGATGCTTTGTGCCATCTGGCCTACTAACCTAAATCAAAATTAAGGTCTGGATGCATAAATCCTGCCCCAGCAGTTAAAAAACAACCTCAACTAGAAACAAGAAACAGCGGTAAAAATTTATGGCAAACTTTCGACCAAACTGACATCAAACACTGGTGATTTATTGCTACCAAATCTAACCCTGATCGAGGCTCACGATTAACTAGGTCGGTGGCTAAAAATAAATCAGCGGAACTAGACTAAAGACCGAAACAGCAGGTTAATTAGATGGCGTTAAAAACGTTCGAAAAAAATTCCGGCAAACATAATCTTCTAAAAGCCAGCAATCTTTTTAATATTTTATGTCAGCTAACTGTGAGTTTGTCGCGATTAAAATTAGTCCGCGGGATTTAGACTGACCAAATAAACTGACAGCGCGAGAGATTAGATTGGTTACCTGAGAGACCGTCTGCTACCGCTTAATCCCAGCCACGTGTTGTTCACCTGGAGACATAAGCCGGATATTAATAATCTCTTGCAACATTCAGTAGTTATAGAACTGTTACAGGTAAGGTAGTTCATGTTGATAGATGAATGAGTTGATATTAATAATCTCTTGCAACATTCAGTAGTTATAAAACTGTTACAGGTAAGGTAGTTCATGTTGATAGATGAATGAGTTGAACTTAGATAGCAGTTGTAAACTAAATAAAGATGAAAGTTAGGGACGGCGTGGTCGGATAATAGAGCTAACTGATAACTCTAAAGTCCTGAGTTCGAATCCCAGGCTCGAGTCTGTTGTACGTCCTGGAGTCCGCTCAGCTCTGATGGGTACGTGACTAAAGTTAGGGAAACTAAGCGGCTGGGCGTAGTGCTGACTACAATATCCCTCACATGGTTACTGAAACAGATTAACTCTATTTCACCTGCCCCATGTGTCTTGGGCAGAAAATATGATGATGATGATGGTGATGATGATGATGATGGTGATAATGAGGATGATGATGTTGATGTTGGTGCGAAACTTACTTCGAAACTTTGAAAAATTTCTTTGATTTCTGAAGCCAAGCCGAGTCGAGAAACCGCCTTTTCTTCTTCTCGTCGGCAGTGGGCGAGGACGGGGGCGCTTCGCCCTCCGAACTGGTCGACTGGGGCCGGGCCTCGGCGCCCAGCTCAGGGGGCGACGACGTCCTGGTGTAGCCGCCAGAGGCAGACGGCACCTCCGCCCTCGCCGCTGCCTGGGACGACTCGCTGGGGTCCCAGCTGCGGGCTTGTCTGGACTTGCCCGGCGACTCCGCTGCTTTGGAGGCCTGGCCGTACAGCGAGACGCCCAAATCAAAAGAAATGGATTGTTTACAAAGCACGCCTACTGTCCCCATCTTTCCTCTCCCTGCCCCTCGCCTCTCTGGGGAGAGGGAGGATTGTAATCTGGATTTCTCTTCTTTTTTCTCAGACGATGTTTTTCTAGATCTTTCCTTGTGTTTCTTTCCGCTTGAGGAATCAGATTTAGGTGAAGATGGCGGTAACACTTCTATCTCCGACCCTTCTGCCTCCTCCTGTTTCTTCTTCTCCTTATCAGAAACACAGTACGTGGCGGCTCTACTGCGACTCTCGGAGGTTCGATCTGTTGATGGGAGAATCGGCAGCGATTGGTGGCTGCTTGGGCCGGGTTGTGACTCGGGCTTTAGGGACCCGCCCTCATCAGACGACATAGAGGAGATCATCTGGTAGGAGATATCGGACGCCGGGGATGTGGACAGCACCATGGCAACCTCGCAGGACTTCCGGTGCTGGGTTTTCAGAGCACTCGGCGACCCGCGCTGTCGGTCGATTCCGGAATCGGAGAAAGCTCTTTCCGGCGAGCTTTTCGCTGGGTGGCTGAACGTTTCCGCCAGCTTCTTCACGATGCCTTCGTTGGTCAAGTCTTTGAAAGGCGCCATGTTTTTCTGACCGTCTGACCCGCTCGGCGTGGAGAGTTTCCTGACGATCTGGGTGACGAACTCCGAGTGGGTTCTGGGCGAGTCGGTCCTCTGGAGGCTCAGGTCCGAGTTGGTCCGCGACGACCCCGCGCTCCTGACCGGGGTGTTGTCGCGGGATAGACGCGAGACCATGGCGTGGACGTAGGAGACGTTTTCTTTGTTGGGGCTGGGCTTGGCCGGGTCGGGCTTGGGGAGGTACTTCTGCATGATGCGGGTGGCGTAGATCGAGTGGCCGCTCCTGTACCGCTGGCTCTCCTCCAGGAGTTCCGCCGCTGGTTTCAGTCTCCGGACACGAGACACGAGCCCAACCCGCGGTAAATGAAGCGTCGGACTCGGCGTTTTCCGTAATTCAATCGGGCGGTCTTCGGTTTCACAAACTGTTGCCCGCTTTTCAAATCTGTTTATAGCGTCTTGCAGAGGTTTAGACGGAGTTGAGTCTAACACTCCACGGTCCATGTCACCAACGCTTTTTGATCTCGGTCCTTTCTCAGGCGCCGGTGAAGAAGTCGGGGACTGTTTTATAGGCATGCTTTGTTTAGGTAAAGGCGGCTTCCCTCTTGTAGCGACGGGACTACCTTTGGGTGAAATGGCTTGGTACTCTCTGAGTTTCGTCTCTCTCTCTTCTCTCTGACGTCGCAGTAGTTTGTGTTTGCTGAGAGGGCTCCGCGCTACCTTGGAGCCGATCTTGCTGTGGTCACTGATCGGTGGCAGCTCACTTGTCCGTGTGAGCGCTGAACGGGTGTGGAGGCTGGAACCTCCGGATGACCCTTGGTCAGAGTCGGTAATGGTCTCTACTCTAGGCGGGATGTCTGTACACTCCATCACAGATACTGCTGGAAATGTCACGCTTGACTGAGCACGCAGAGCCGCGAGACTCTGCTGTACTGGAATGACTTGTGTAGGGGACTCGGGTGGTTGACCGGGCCCGGGACCAGCTTCAGGGGAAGGGGCTGAAGCTGCTCCTGGGCGCTGAGTTAAAGTGGGCGACCCCTGCTCCACTTCGCTCTTAGCCTTCCTCAGCTGCTGAATCTCTTCGTGAAGAGGCGCCGAATCACAGATGGTTTGAAACTCCGGTTTTCTGATTTGAAACTGCGCTCTCCTCTCGTCGACGCTGATGGTTTTAGCTCTGGCGACGTCTTTTGAAGAATCGGACAGCGATCTAGCTGAGGTCGGCTTTAGTTGTGTACTACTCAAAGTTTCTGTGCTCGGTTTCGAACCTTCTGCTGGTCGCACAGAATGCGGTGATGCTTTCGCGGATTGCGGTAATTTCGTCGTGTCTTCACTACGTTTTGGGGGGAGGAATCTTGGGGCTTTGGGGCTCAGCTGTCTGCACGGACCTGAGGTGGGGGGAGTCTGGAGGTGGGTCTCCGTGTGGTCCGTGGCCTGCTCGTGGCGAGACCTGGGGGTGGAATGTAGCTGGACGCTGGGGGCGTCACCTGCTAGAGCCGAGGGCGAAGCAGGGGCTGAGATGGAGGAGCTTGTGACGGGCGTCAGCTCTTCTGGAAAATAAAATCACATCTACAGGAAAATAAAATCACATCTACAGGAAAATAAAATCACATCTACAGGAAAATAAAATCACATCTACAGGAAAATAAAATCACATCTACAGGAAAAAAAATCACATCTACAGGAAAATAAAATTACATCTACAGGAAAATAAAATCACATCTACAGGAGAATAAAATCACATCTACAGGAAAATAAAATAAAATCAACAAGAAAAAAAAATCACATCTACAGGAAAATAAAATCACATCTACTGGAAAACAAAATTACATCTACAGGAAAATAAAATTACATCTACAGGAAAATAAAATCACATCTGCAGGAAAATAAAATCAATTTTTTGGAAAATAAAATCACATCTACAGGAGAATAAAATCACATCTACAGGAAAATAAAAATAAAATCACATCTACAGGAAAATAAAATCACATCTACAGGAAAATAAAATCACATCTACAGGAAAATAAAAATCACATCTACAGGAAAATAAAATTACATCTACAGGAAAATAAAAATAAAAATCACATCTACAGGAAAATAAAATCACATCTACAGGAAAATAAAAATCACATCTACAGGAAAATAAAATTACATCTACAGGAAAATAAAAATAAAATCACATCTACAGGTAAATAATAATCACATCTACGGGAAAATAAAAATCACATCTACAGAAAAATAAAATCACAACTACAGGAAATTAAAATAGCATCTACAGGAAAATAAAATCACATCTACAGGAAAATAAAATCACATCTACAGGAAAATAAAAATCACATCTACAGGAAAATAAAATTACATCTACAGGAAAATAAAAATAAAAATCACATCTACAGGAAAATAAAATCACATCTACAGGAAAATAAAAATCACATCTACAGGAAAATAAAATTACATCTACAGGAAAATAAAAATAAAATCACATCTACAGGTAAATAATAATCACATCTACGGGAAAATAAAAATCACATCTACAGAAAAATAAAATCACAACTACAGGAAATTAAAATAGCATCTACAGGAAAATAAAATCACATCTACAGGAAAATAAAAATAAAAATCACATCTACAGGAAAATAAAATCACATCTACAGGAAAATAAAAATCACATCTACAGGAAAATAAAATTACATCTACAGGAAAATAAAATCACATCTACAGGAAAATAAAATCACATCTACAGGAAAATAAAATCACATCTACAGAAAAATAAAATCACATCTACAGGAAAATAAAATCACATCTACATGAAAATAAAAAATAAAATCACATCCACAGGGAAATAAAATCATATCAACAAGAAGATAAATCACATATACAGGAAAATAAAATCACATCAACAAGAAGATAAATCACATCTACAGGAAAATAAAATCACATCAACAAGAAGATAAATCACATCTACAGGAAAATAAAATCTCATCTACAGGAAAATAAAATCACATCCACAGGGAAATAAAATAAATCACATCTTTTAAAAAATAAAATCACATCTTTTGGGAAATAAAACCACATGTACAGGAAAATAAAATCACAGTAAAAAACAGCAACAAATATAACGAAATCACATCAATAACGAAATGAAGAAAATACATACACATAAATCTTTTATAACTTATTCCTTGATTCATATTTGACTAAAGTCAGCACACAAAATTTTAAAGTAAACGGAAAAAAAGAATGACAATACAATCATTTTAATTTTTTTTTCTAGATTGGATTGTGTAGGGTTAGGCACTGTGGTATAGTAAAGGTCTTAACAATTAAATAAAAGGTTCGGCTGGAAAAACAGGAAACAATGTATTAATATTTCTTTCAGTTTCTTGATTAGAATGATTACAGGAATTAAATGGGAAAAGGCGGTGCCAACCGAAGCTCTAGAACTATTAAGTCTCCAGGTGCATCCGTTTTAACATTGGCAGATGTTTAACACAACAGCTGATCAGCCTTTGCTAAATGTCTCAAGTATTTTTTTTAACATCGATACTTACATTAATATCCTTCCGTAAGCAAAGAAAAAAATAGATCAAGGTAAAAGCCATCTTATAAAAATATTCGGGTTTTTAATCAAGCCTGTTAATCAGCACTGGAAGTGTGTTTTATCTAATGATAGACAGTCTCTAAAGTGTGTTTTGTGAAATCATAAATAGTCCCTATAGTGTGTTTTATCAAATAACAGACATGAACAAATGACAGACGGACATGAACAAATGACAGACAGACAAACCAAATGACAGACAGACATGACCAAATGACAGACATGACGAAATGACAGACAGACATGACCAAATGACAGACAGACATGAACAAATGACAGACATGAACAAATGACAGACAGACATGAACAAATGACAGACAAACATGACCACAAGCTAGACAGACATGAACAAAAGAACTCACCTGCTATATATGGAATGTTGAGACGTGAGCTGTCGGTTGAGTAAGGTTTGGGTTCGCGTTCTGTGGCTGATCTGACCATGGAGGAGGAGGGGAGCTCCATCTACAGGAAGTGGTGGTATTGTTAAGTGTTGCTATGGCAACTTGACATTGGTCATGTTTTATAAGCGAGGTCAATCAAAAACACATTTGTTTCAATAATAGACACGCGTTTTGGAGTTGTTTTTTTCGTGTTGAACAACTCATAGCTATCTTACATTTGCTAGGAAAATAAAATAGCTTGTAATTTAATTAAACATACAAACGATCTTAAACCAACAAAATTAAATTTTCTATTTTTCGTGAGGGCGAATTTGGGGGCCCCTAAAAATTAGGGGCCTCTTGGTGCTGCCCTGTCAGCTTCCACCCTTTCATAGAACCTTACCATAGCTTGCGGCCTGTGTCTATCTGAGCCGCCGAATGTCTTCCAGCGCTTGAGAGAGGAAAACGTCTTGGCCTCTTGGAACTGGCAGAGCTCCGTCTCACGTCTGCTAATGTCGGCCTGCAGAAGGAGGTTGTTGACCTCTTGAAGCAGCAGTTGGCGCTTGATGCCCATGATCTCACGGTTCCGCTCCAGGTGACTCAGCCTCAGGTTGTTCATCTGCACGGTGAGGATTAAGGCGGGGTTAGGGTTAGATCGTAATGGTTTCGGTAGAGGTTAGATAGGGCGAGCCAGGTTGGTGCTATAGCCAGATGTGATGATTTGGTTTTAACCAGCCACATTAACCACTGGTTATAGTAGCTGCTATAGCCATTTCTCTAACCAGTTCTTTAACCAATAATCTAACCAGCTTCTCTAATCACGTCTCTTACCATTTCTCCAAACCACCCCCTAGCGACTTCTCCAAACTACCTCTCCAACCACTTCTCCAACCACTTCTCCAACCACTTCTCTAACCACTTCTCCAACCACTTCTCCAACCACTTCTCCAACCACTTCTCCAACCACTTCTCCAACCACTTCTCTAACCACTTCTCCAACCATTTGTCTAACCACTTCTCTAACCACTTCTCCAACCACTTTACCAACCACTTCTCCAACAACTTCTCTAACCACTTCTCCAACCACTTTACCAACCACTTCTCCAACCACTTCTCTAACCACTTCTCCAACCACTTATCTAAACATTTCTCCAACCACTTTACCAACCACTTCTCTAACCACTTCTCCAACCACTTCTCTAACCACTTCTCCAACCACTTTACCAACCACTTCTCTAACCACTTCTCCAACCACTTTACCAACCACTTCTCCAACAACTTCTCTAACCACTTCTCCAACCACTTTACCAACCACTTCTCTAACCACTTCTCTAACCACTTCTATAATCACTTCTCTAACCACTTCTCCAACCACTTCTCCAACCACTTTACCAACCACTTCTCTATCCACTTTACCAACCACTTCTCTATCCACTTTACCAACCACTTCTCCAACCACTTTACCAACCACTTCTCCAACCACTTTACCAACCACTTCTCTAACCACTTCTCCAACCACTTATCTAAACATTTCTCCAACCACTTTACCAACCACTTCTCTAACCACTTCTCCAACCACTTTACCAACCACTTCTCTAACCACTTCTCCAACCACTTCTCCAACCACTTCTCTAACCACTTCTCTAACTAGTTCTCTAACCACTTCTCTAACTAGTTCTCTAACCACTTCTCCACCCACTTCTCTAACCACTTCTCCAACCACTTCTCTAACCACTTCTCCAACCACTTCTCCAACCACTTCTCCAACCACTTCTCCAACCACTTCTCCAACCACTTCTCCAACCACTTCTCTAACCACTTCTCTAACTAGTTCTCTAACTAGTTCTCTAACCACTTCTCCAACCACTTCTCCAACCACTTCTCCAACCACTTCTCTAACCACTTCTCTAACTAGTTCTCTAACCACTTCTCCACCCACTTCTCTAACCACTTCTCCAACCACTTCTCTAACCACTTCTCCAACCACTTTACCAACCACTTCTCTAACCACTTCTCCAACCACTTATCTAAACATTTCTCCAACCACTTTACCAACCACTTCTCTAACCACTTCTCCAACCACTTTACCAACCACTTATCTAAACATTTCTCCAACCACTTCTCCAACAACTTCTCCAACCACTTCTCCAACCACTTCTCTAACCACTTCTCTAACCACTTCTCCAACCACTTCTCTAACCACTTCTCCAACCACTTTACCAACCACTTCTCTAACCACTTCTCCAACCACTTATCTAAACATTTCTCCAACCACTTTACCAACCACTTCTCTAACCACTTCTCCAACCACTTTACCAACCACTTCTCTAACCACTTCTCCAACCACTTCTCCAACCACTTCTCTAACCACTTCTCTAACTAGTTCTCTAACCACTTCTCCACCCACTTCTCTAACCACTTCTCCAACCACTTCTCTAACCACTTCTCCAACCACTTCTCCAACCACTTCTCCAACCACTTCTCTAACCACTTCTCTAACTAGTTCTCTAACCACTTCTCCACCCACTTCTCTAACCACTTCTCCAACCACTTCTCTAACCACTTCTCCAACCACTTTACCAACCACTTCTCTAACCACTTCTCCAACCACTTATCTAAACATTTCTCCAACCACTTTACCAACCACTTCTCTAACCACTTCTCCAACCACTTTACCAACCACTTCTCTAACCACTTCTCCAACCACTTCTCCAACCACTTCTCCAACCACTTCTACAACCACTTCTCCAACCACTTCTCTAACCACTTCTCTAACCACTTCTCTAACCACTTCTCTAACCACTTCTCCAACCACTTTACCAACCACTTCTCTAACCACTTCTCCAACCACTTCTCCAACCACTTCTCCAACCACTTCTACAACCACTTCTCCAACCACTTCTCTAACCACTTCTCTAACCACTTCTCTAACCACTTCTCTAACCACTTCTCTAACCACCTGTCTAACTACTTCTCTAACCACTTCTCCAACCACTTTACCAACCACTTCTCCAACAACTTCTCTAACCACTTCTCCAACCACTTTACCAACCACTTCTCTAACCACTTCTCTAACCACTTCTATAATCACTTCTCTAACCACTTCTCCAACCACTTCTCCAACCACTTTACCAACCACTTCTCTATCCACTTTACCAACCACTTCTCTAACCACTTCTATAACCACTTCTCCAACCACTTTACCAACCACTTCTCTAACCACTTCTCTAACCACTTCTCTAACCACTTCTATAATCACTTCTCTAACCACTTCTCCAACCACTTCTCCAACCACTTTACCAACCACTTCTCTATCCACTTTACCAACCACTTCTCCAACCACTTCTCCAACCACTTCTCTAACCACTTCTCTAACTAGTTCTCTAACCACTTCTCCACCCACTTCTCTAACCACTTCTCCAACCACTTCTCTAACCACTTCTCCAACCACTTTACCAACCACTTCTCTAACCACTTCTCCAACCACTTATCTAAACATTTCTCCAACCACTTTACCAACCACTTCTCTAACCACTTCTCCAACCACTTTACCAACCACTTCTCTAACCACTTCTCCAACCACTTCTCCAACCACTTCTCCAACCACTTCTACAACCACTTCTCCAACCACTTCTCTAACCACTTCTCTAACCACTTCTCCAACCACTTCTCTAACCACCTGTCTAACCACTTCTCTAACCACCTGTCTAACCACTTCTCTAACCACCTCTCTAACCACTTCTCTAACCACCTAACCGGCCAACTCACCTGGACTTGTAGTTTCATTGCTTGGCTGTACAACGTTTCAAAATTAGATAAGGCCATCGTCTTCTGACTGTCTTCTTCTGTAGAAAGACAAGACAAAGACGTTAAGATTGTTAGTAGCATTGTACCGAGGCAGTAACATCATTACATGACTAGTAAAAATAGACCGAACACAACTACATACAGCTCAAAACTATGGCGTGAATGTTTAAAAAAAAAATTCTACTCAGTCCGGAATAAAATACTTAAAAAAACTTTTTAAAAAACCACGTTTTTCTTGTGGACTAAAAAGTAGAAAATAAATTTTCATACATTTGATGACAAAAAACGTGGGTACGTTCACCATCAAATTTCCCGACCCATCTGCCCGACCCACGTTTTTTGTCATCAAATGTATGAAAATTTATTTTCTACTTTTTAGTCCACAAGAAAAACGTGGATTTTTAAAAAGTTTTTTTAAGTATTTTATTTTCTCCTTTTTAGTCCGTTGCTACACATGAAAAACGTGGTTTTAAAAAAAGTTTTTTATATAGTTTATTTTCTACTTTATCTAATGACTTGATTAAGTATGACTTGACTAAGTGTTTATAAATACACGGACTAAAAATCTTGAGCGACCAGGATTCGAACCTGGATTGTCGCGGCCACAACGCGAAGTACTAACCGCTATACGATCACGGCTAGCGCGCTCACATCGATTGGGGCCGAAGTAACTGTGTCAATAGGCCTCCAGTCTTGTCGGTATCTTTAGAAATCATGTCCTCAATTTTAGGGTCCTTGGGGCGTAATTAAATTAAGCTAATTACGGTCTCTAATTGCTAGTTTTTATGATTGCATCTGAAATTGTTAGGCGAAAGTAGCCTACATGCCAAATTTCAGATCTCTAGAGCAATCAGAAGTGGGCTAATTTTCGATGTCAATTTTAACAACAAACATCCAAACAAACGCGAAGCTGAGTTAAGAAAAACGTGTTAAAAAAACAACCCTGAAGTTTATAAAAGAAGAAATTAACTTGTTTCTTTCATTTAATTACAACAAAACGTATATCAATATTTACAACTGGTGTCAAATAAATTATAAATAGCCCATTTGTATAAAATACATTTTTATATGAATTCAATTCGCACTTAGGAAACGCTCGCTTAAAAACCCCATCATTTTGTGAGCATAAAGAAACACGGCTTTTATTTCTCACACCTGTCTATAAATGTTACAGGTGTTTTGGTGCTAGTTCAAGTCTGCTGCCTACCTTTAGCCTAGATCGTGACCAGAACCAGAGCAGTTTGTTGGAATTTGATCTTTTCCTATGGCGGAAGTTAGGCGTATAACAGGAACTTATTCGCGAAACAGACGCTTCCCACATGTGGCCAGCTGACTATGTGGGGAGATTTTACCACACGTGGGTATCCACACACTTTTAGACAGAGTTAATTACCACATGTGGATGTGACACCTGTATCAAACCACAAATGAAAAAAAAACCTGTGGCTAGCACCACATGTCGTTACGACTTACCCGTGGCAAGTACCACATGTGGACATCAACACATGTTTAAATGGTGTTAGTTACCACATGTAGATATAACTCGCCTGTAACTGTAAGCCCCACATAAGGACATAACACCTGTAACAAGCCCCATTTAAGGACACAACACATGTAACAAGCCCCACTTAAGGACATAACACATTTAACTAGCCCCATATAAGGACATAACACCTGCCACAAGTCCCATATAAGGACAGAACTGACAGAACCCACCTGTAACAAGCCCCACATTGAACAAAACCCACCTGTAACAAGCCCCACATTGAACAAAACCCACCTGTAACAAGCCCCATATAAGGACATAACACCTGTGTAAAGCCCCACATTTGAACATAACCCACCTGTAACAACCCCACTTTGAACATAACCCACCTGTATCAAACCCCACATTTGAACAGAATCCACCTGTAACAAGACCCACATTGAACATAACCCACCTGTAACAAGCCCCACATTTGAACATAACCCACCTGTAACAACCCCACTTTGAACATAACCCACCTGTATCAAACCCCACTTTGAACAGAACCCACCTGTAACAAGCCCACATTTGAATATAACCCACCTGTAACAAGACCCACTTTGAACATAACCCACCTGTAACAAGCCCCACATTTGAACAGAACCCACCTGTATCAAGCCCCAAATTTGAACAGAACCCACCTATAACAAGCCCCACATTTGAACATAACCCACCTATAAAAAGCCCCATATAAGGACATAACACCTGTATCAAGCCCACATTTGAATATAACCCACCTGTAACAAGCCACACTTTGAACAGAACCCACCTGTAACAAGCCCCACATTTGAACATAACCTACCTGTAACAAGCTCACATTTGAATATAACCCACCTGTAACAAGCCCCACTTTGAACAGAACCCACCTGTAACAAGCCCCACATTTGAACATAACCTACCTGTAACAAGCCCACATTTGAATATAACCCACTTGTAACAAGCCCCACATTGAACAGAACTCACCTGCTACAAGCACCACATTTGAATATAACCCACCTGTATCAAGTCCCACATGTGAACAGAACCCACCTGTATCAAGCCCCACATGTGAACAGAACCCACCTGTAACAAGCCCCACATGTGAACAGAACCCACCTGTAACAAGCCCCACATTTGAACAGAATCCACCTGTATCAAGCCCCACATGTGAACAAAACCCACCTGTAACAAGCCCCACATTTGAACAGAATCCACCTGTATCAAGCCCCACATTGAACAGAACCCACCTGTAACAAGCCCCACATTTGAACAGAACCCACCTGTATCAAGCCCCACATTGAACAGAACCCACCTGTAACAAGCCCCACATTTGAACAGAACCCACCTGTAACAAGCCCCACATTGAACAGAACCCACCTGTAACAAGCCCCACATGTGAACAAAACCCACCTGTAACAAGCCCCACATGTGAACAGAACCCACCTGGAACAAGCCCAACATGTGAACAAAACCCACCTGTAACAAGCCCCACATGTGAACAGAACCCACCTGTAACAAGCCCCACATTTGAACAGAACCCACCTGTATCAAGCCCCACATTGAACAGAACCCACCTGTAACAAGCCCCACATTTAAATATAACCCACCTGTAACAAGCCCCACATTTGAACAAAACAAACCTGTATCAAGCCCCACATGTGAACAGAACCCACCTGTAACAAGCCCCACATTGAACAGAATCCACCTGTATCAAGCCCCACATTGAACAGAACCCACCTGTAACAAGCCCCACATTTGAACAGAACCCACCTGTATCAAGCCCCACATTGAACAGAACCCACCTGTAACAAGCCCCACATCTGAACAGAACCCACCTGTAACAAGCCCCACATGTGAACAGAACCCACCTGTAACAAGCCCCACATTTGAACAGAATCCACCTGTAACAAGCCCCACATTGAACAAAACCCACCTGTAACAAGCCCCACATGTGAACAAAACCCACCTGTAACAAGCCCCACATTGAACAGAACCCACCTGTAACAAGCCCCACATGTGAACAGAACCCACCTGTAACAAGCCCCACATTTGAACAGAATCCACCTGTAACAAGCCCCACATTGAACAGAACCCACCTGTAACAAGCCCCACATGTGAACAAAACCCACCTGTAACAAGCCCCACATCTGAACAGAATCCACCTGTAACAAGCCCCACATTGAACAGAACCCACCTGTAACAAGCCCCACATGTGAACAGAACCCACCTGTAACAAGCACCGCATGTGAACAGAACCCACCTGTAACAAGCCCCACATTTGAACAGAATCCACCTGTAACAAGCCCCACATTGAACAAAACCCACCTGTAACAAGCCCCACATGTGAACAAAACCCACCTGTATCAAGCCCCACATTTGAACAGAACCCACCTGTATCAAGCCCCACATTGAACAGAACCCACCTGTAACAAGCCCCACATTTGAACAGAACCCACCTGTAACAAGCCCCACATTTGAACAGAACCCACCTGTAACAAGCCCCACATTTGAACAGAACCCACCTGTAACAAGCCCCACATGTGAACAGAACCCACCTGTAACAAGCCCCACATTTGAACAGAACCCACCTGTAACAAGCCCCACATTTGAACAGAACCCACCTGTAACAAGCCCCACATGTGAACAGAACCCACCTGTAACAAGCCCCACATTTGAACAGAATCCACCTGTAACAAGCCCCACATGTGAACAGAACCCACCTGTAACAAGCACCGCATGTGAACAGAACCCACCTGTACCAAGCCCCACATTGAACAGAACCCACCTGTAACAAGCCCCACATTTAAATATAACCCACCTGTAACAAGCCCCACATTTGAACAAAACCCACCTGTATCAAGCCCCACATGTGAACAGAACCCACCTGTAACAAGCCCCACATTGAACAGAATCCACCTGTATCAAGCCCCACATTGAACAGAACCCACCTGTAACAAGCCCCACATTGAACAGAACCCACCTTTAACAAGCCCCACATTTGAACAGAACCCACCTGTGTAAAGCCCAAGATTTGAACAGAACCCACCTGTGTAAAGCCCAAGATTTGAACAGAACCCACCTGTGTAAAGCCCAAGATTTGAACAGAACCCACCTGTGTAAAGCCCAAGATTTGAACAGAACCCACCTGTGTAAAGCCCAAGATTTGAACAGAACCCACCTGTGTAAAGCCCAAGATTTGAACAGAACCCACCTGTGTAAAGCCCAAGATTTGAACAGAACCCACCTGTGTAAAGCCCAAGATTTGAACAGAACCCACCTGTATCAAGCCCCACATTGAACAGAACCCACCTGTGTAAAGCCCAAGATTTGAACAGAACCCACCTGTGTAAAGCCCAAGATTTGAACAGAACCCACCTGTGTAAAGCCCAAGATTTGAACAGAACCCACCTGTAACAAGCCCCACATTGAACAGAACCCACCTGTAACAAGCCCAAGATTTGAACAGAACCCACCTGTGTAAAGCCCAAGATTTGAACCCACCTGTATCAAGCCCAAGATTTGAACCCACCTTTAACAAGCCCAAGATTTGAACAGAACCCACCTGTAACAAGCCCAAGATTTGAACAGAACCCACCTGTGTAAAGCCCAAGATTTGAACCCACCTGATTGTGTGGCGTGAAGCAGCATGGTCCTCATCTGATCTACCAACTCCACCAGCTGGGTGTGGACGGTCTCCTCTCCTTCGATGCTCTGCCATTTACCGACCTGCGGGGAGAAAGGGGTCAGATGTCAAGGTCACTCATGAGAAGGTCAGGTACACAAGACTTCCATTGAGTTCAAGAAAATAAAATTTGTTAGGCAACAGGCGAAGTACTTTATGATTGTTTGAAAACAAATTTTTAAAATATATATTATAAAAGGCGTAGCGACCCTTCCCGGCGCCCGGGGACAAACTTTTCGATTTTGCAACCCCCCTCAAGATTTCGATTTGCCCGCCCCCCTCAAGATTTCGATTTGCACCCCCCCTTAAACTTTCGATTTGCACCCCCCCCCCCCCCTCAAGATTTTCATTTGCACCCCCCCCCTTCATCAAGCTTTCAATTTGCACCCCCTCAACCTTTCAATTTATTTTTCCAACCCATTTTGGCGCCCCCTAAGGTCAGCGCCCGGGGACATATGCTCCCCCCCTCCCCCCCCCCCCCCACTCGCTACGCTACTCAATATTATTTTGGTCGATAAATGAACATTAGTAATTTTTTGGTTTAAAATTTCCAAGCGAACATTTAATTGGTTAAAAATAGACATACAAAATTTTATAATTTTAAACAAATATTTCACAGCTTGAAAATTATAAATAGAACAAACTACGAACGTTCTTCATTTGTTGCGGAAGTATAGAATAAATTTTGGAATGGTTGAGCAAAAAGGTCACAATTTTTTTTTTATTTGTAGACAATAATTGGCAAATAAATATCTTTGGTTGAAAATAATATGTCAAAACATTTTCTATTGGTTGAAATAATATGTCAAAATAGATTTAATTGGTTGAGAATTGTCATGTAAATATTTCATTGGCAGAAATATAAAAAGGATACTTTAGCTGGATCACCGTTAAATTCATTTTAAAATAAAAATTGGAACTGTTATTTTCAAAGAAAAATCTTTTTTTTTAAATAAACGTACCGCTGACCAGTGGTCAAGAATGATTGGAACCACTGAAGGCCAATAACCTTTAGCTACTGGCGTCCAGTGAATGTGTCATCTTGGGCATGACCCAGTTAGCAGATGGTTCAACTCGGAGAGAAATAATGGGGGAGAGGTGGGGGGGGGGGGGGATCAGCCGGACGACAGAGAAATGAAATCAATAGCAATGACAAGTTGTGGGTTCCAGGGTTAGCACGATGGAAGGGTGGGGGTGGGGGTGAGGGAGGGGGTGGGTGTGAGGATGAACTGGGGGTACAGTGAAAAGTGGGTGACTTGAGAAATATTAGACAGTGCTCCGTTGTGTGCGTGATTATTTTAACCCACCTGTAACAAGCCCCACATTTGAAATTTATAGGTTTGACAGACAGGTATTTGAAACCACATAAAAGATAATAGCAAAATAAGTTAAAAAGTAGTAGCATTCTGTTAAAGAAAAAAAACCAACGAAACAAAACAAGAATAAACCTAAAAGAAAAAAAACAAAATTCGTTGTGTGAGAAAAAAAGTGGAAAACGAATCCGAAGAATGTTGGATGGGGGTCTTTACAGTGGCATGAAAATGATCGGGCATGTCTTGTGACGTTTGATTGAGTTATTTCCAAGTGTTAATTAAGTCTAATTACAGCAGAGGAAATCTATTACACAAAAGGGGGCGTGACGCTAAATGAACGGGTCACGCAAGCCACTTGCTCACACACATGACAGTGTCACACAAAAAACATGTTCACAAATAAGACAAAAAAAAAGACAATTGCATGATAAAAGAATACATTTCCATGCAAAAGAAATTTTCACACAAACTACAAAGACACGTAACTGACGATTTCATATAAATGCTATACATATGAAAGAATCACACACATGGTAGTTCTCACAATACCAAACATTGAGCTACATTTGAAAATTTAACAGACCAACAAACGAACCAATCTAACAAACACCAACTCACAAAATATCACAAAATGTTTGGAAAGCTACAGTATCGTACACAGCAGCGGATGTGTATATGTATGTGTGTGTGTGTGTGGGGGGGGGGGGGGGTGTATGTGTAGGGGTGTCGGGGTGTATGTGTGTTTGTGGGTTATGTGTGCGTGGGGGGGGGTGCTTTTGGCACTGCATGCGGTAGCCAATATAACACTCGATTTGAAATGTAAAACTAGAATTAATATCAACAAAACAGGAGAAAAAGGGGTCGGCGTAGACGTGTGACGGAGTGTAATTGCTAACCTCCTAAATTCCCGACATCTGACATTCCCCCCCCCCCCCCCCCCCCCCCGGGCAGGCAGATGAGGCTCTAAGCTAGACATAGCAACAACCGAAGTAGGAAAGAAAATAACACTAAAATCAAACAACAGCTGCCTTGTAGATTGTTTTTGAGTGGACGCAAGCCGTGGAAGCACATCCACAGAGATACGCACACTGAAGTAGTATTAAACGGGTTAAATGGCTCATAACATGTTGACAAGTGATACTTGATTGTATTGGAGGAAATCTATTCCAACACTAGAATCAAGAAGAAGAAGTAATACTTAATTGTGTTGGAGGAAAATCCCCAATATAACAATTAAGAACTTAGAAGAATTTGAATATAAAAATAGAAGAATAGAATTTAAGTATTATAGTTGGTCTAGAATTACGTTTTTATTCTCTAAAATCTAATCAAAACTATTCAGTGAAACTTAGTAACAGACAGTATAGAGCTTATCTTACCGCGGCTCTCTTTATATCTATGGCTCCTTACCCCCACACTGACCTCACCACTATTTTACCCACACCTTACCGCGGGAAATATCCACACAGTTCTCTACCATTATCTGACCCCCGTCCTAATTACACAGACCCCCCCCCCCATCTACTTTAAGGCGGCAATATCTCCATCCACACGGTTCCCTACAATACTCTGATCACGCCCTTGATTACAGACCCCCCCCCCCCTCAGCTTACCGCTGCACTCTCCATAGACATGGCCAGTTTCTCCCCAAAGTTCTCCATCAACTTGATCTTCTCCTCCAACTCCCCCATGCTGGTCTGAAGGTCACTGACCTCCAGTTTGACTGGACCGGTTAGCGTCCCACTGGCTAGTTCACGGTGGAACCGGGCTGCGATGGTTAGATAGAAAAACGATAAAATATATTGAAACCGGGCTGCAATGGTTAGAGATACAATAAAATACATTGAAACCGGGTGGAATGGTTAGATAGAAATACAATAAAATACATTGAAACCGTGCTGGAATGGTTA